ACCTTTATCGACAGATCCATCTGACCTATCATTCCTTTCCCCATCGCACTTCCTTATTTTTATATTCAAATGAGTACATTTCTCATCTGCAGACAAAAACCAAGTGGACTCAATCTACAGGCCAGCTGCAAGTTGGGTCATTGGTCTTGGTTAGAGACCGCAACCAACCTCCTCTTCTTTGGCTCATGGGTCGAGTCACTAGAATCTTCAACGGCGGCGATTCTGTTGGCAGGGTGGCCGAACTGCGCACCAAGAAGGGCACGATCGTGCGAGCCTACAACAACATCTGCCCTCTCCCTACTACCTGTTAACACCTTCAGCCCGGGCGGGAGCATGTTATGAACGCAACCGTTCATACCCAGGAATGGAACGTGTTCACCGGAAACAGCCGAGGCAACATTATACGGGGCAGAGAGATGACTGGGACTTTTTAAAATTGTAACGGACTACTCACTCCTTTCCTTTTTATCGTACATAAAGATTTTGTAGCAAAGGACTTTTTTATCATTTACTGGCGCCTACATACATCTTCTAAACACCTGAGAAGAAACACCCATATTGATTATATTATCATGAAAGCTAATAAAGCGCTGGGTTTTATGTTAAGGATTGCAACCGACTTCAAGAACATAAAAACATTTAAAATTCTATACTGTACCTTTGTCCGTAGCCATTTGGAATATGCCTCCCAAATTTGGAACCCACAATATAATGTATATATTGACAGAATTGAGCGGATTCAAAAACGATTTTTGCGCTTTTTTACAGTTCAGAACAAACAATACATTCCTAACTATAATAGTCGATGTATCAAATTCCATACTCTTCCCTTGTACGAGCGGAGAAAAATTGCGGACATATCCTTCCTTTCTAAAATAGCCAAGGGTACCATTGATTGCCCAGAACTGTTAAGCAAAGTAGAACTTCGGGTTCACACTCGTAACGTGCGTAACCAATATCTCCTATCTATACCATTGGTCAATAGCAATTATCGCCGAAATTCTTTCATGATACGGTCTTGCAAATCTTTTAATAACATACTACGTAATGTAGACATTGATTTATACTTTACCAGCGATTCTCAGCTCAAGAAACTATTAGCCAACAAATATTTCTCCACTTAAGTTTTATGGTGTTTATTTTGCTTTTTTTATGTATAATTTAGTGTAATATTTATTATTGTTATACTTCTTTTTTTTTTTTTAATTGTTCTTTATCTATTGTAATGTTTAATTAATCTCTACCTACCTCATGTTATTACTCCTTGATCTATTTGCGAGAACTTGTAAATGGCTATCTCTTTTCTATTTATTTATATGTTAATAGTTATATGTTAGCTGTAAGTTTTCCATACATAATAAAAATAAATAAAATAAGAGCAATGCTTATAAACATAATAATAAAAGAAGGTATTAGAGGAGTTAGGAGGTTCGACATGTTATGAGAGATCAAGGCCGACCATGAACTGCTTAGCACGAGTGGGATTGCAGGAGCGTGTCCAACCTTCGGATCGGCTTCCCGTTTCCGTGTTCGGTGCACCAACTTACATAAACATAAAACGATAGACTCAACGACGTCAAATGATTTTTCAGTCGTACCAATAGACTGTATCTTTTGAAAGCACATATTAACCCCAATTTAAATGCTTTATAGAAAGTTTTAAGTTATTTTTTGGTTTTTAGTGCTGGCACTTGAATGTAGAGACTGCCGTCTTACTCCCCAAATTCGATTCGAATTTGTTTTTGTTTTCGATTCGAACTCACTCTTGTTTCGAAGTCGATTTGAAAAGCTTACTCCCGAACCGAATCGAAACTAGAAATAAGATCGTGTTTTATCAAATCCGTTAACTGTATCCGGCCTATTACGTCAAAGACAAATGTTCCATGTTCACCGTTATAACGTCTTTTTTTAGCTAACATGTTAATAGGTTATTTTTTTCCCTAAAAATTATTCGAATTTAGTTAATTCCAATTAGAGCCATCACTCGATTGTGCGCTGGCGTCAGATTCAGTGGCACGAACTGTCATGAATTCGAGTCAAACTCGATTGATTCAGAACTCGAATCTGTCGGGAGTAGCCCTGCTGGTCTCTACATTCAAGATGATTTCTTTTATTTTTTTTGTAGATAAATGAACAAAAAGTTTCGGCGCTGCGGAATTTGAGTTGCATCTTCTGGTTTCGGGACAAGGCGCTTTACCAACTAAGCCTCGCTTCCCTCTAGTATGACACACAATGATGATAAAAAAGGAATAAAAGAAAGTATGGAATTTGTCTTCACAAATAAAACATCACGCTATAATCAAACACGTTTATTCACTGAAGCCACGATAAGAACAGGCACCGATCGCTGAAACTTGACCGAAACCAGTATTACGAATAACACAATAATTCAATATGTTACAACAATAAACTGTACAAATCAACATTCTACGCGGCCCGGCTCAATAAACTCGCAATGGCCGTTTGCACACTCATACTTCTCGTATCAGTTATGATAATATGTTAATTATTTTATAATACAAAGCGCTGTTAGCTTAACGTCATTATTTAACACGTTTTTTTCCGACGATAATCGTTACCAACTGTAGTTATAGCATTTAAACGTTTAGTCCGGACGCACTATTTCTCTTATGAATCGTAAAGACTAGTGTTGCTGTTTTCTTGATTGAGTCTTATGGTTTATGACGGCAGGAAATAAGTTATAAACTTTAGCATCATTAATAGTTAATTTTATTTTATTATTACATTTTAATTAGCTGTGCGTTTTACTTATGTGCAAAAATCTGATTTTAAACAAATAAAATATATTCAATGAAATGACAATGAAAGCATTCTTATAATAATAAATTATTATTTAATTATCAAGTCGTAATTAAAATTTAGCGCTAGGTTGTGTCTTTTCTGAACAAAACGGTTTGTAGAATATTTAAGTTACCAATTTTTTAAAGCGTTAAATTTAAGTTGATACAACAAGTACTCGTGTAAAAACGGCAAATGTATAATGATATAAATTTACTTAAATAAAAGTAATTTTCTACAACGAAACCCTTTTAACAAATCGCAATTACGTAGCTTACTTTATTATTATCCTATACTTAAATCACCCTGATAAGGGTTGGCAAAATTTGTCAGATTAAACACTATTGTAAATGTCCTAGGTTAATTACGAATGTGTAGACTAAATAAAAAGTACTTAGATTTTCTAGAATGTTCAGAAAGTCAAATAATTTTTTAAAAAAATTTAAAAGTGTAGTACAACGAAAAAAATACCACTCAATAATTTTACGAACTTTTATGCGATAATTCAAGATTGTGTTTATAAAAAAATATATACATTCAGGACGGTTATTTCGCTTTTTCAATTTGTCTTTGTATCGTTTTAGCTATATAAAGCGATTCTATTTTCATTTTATTGAAAGTATGATTTTTGATTAGGAATCCATCCTCAATAGTGTTTATTCTGAAACTGAAGTGCTCTATCTATTAGCTTCAAGCCTTTCATTTTAATATATGATGTCAAGGGTAACATCGGCGTTTTTTAACTAGATTTATTTATTTATTGATCTGTGCTGCGACCAGTGTCGTAAGGAATTAGACTTGTAGTAATTGTATTTCTATAGAAAATGTAATTGGTAATACTCTGCCTGTATTACAGACTACATTTTATTAACTCCTATAGATAGATGTATTAATGAATATTACAACGTAAAACGTTATGTTAGTATGATATTAATGCTTTTTAAAAATTATAATCTACAGATGTGATGAAATGAAGATGGCGGACATGTTTTTTTTTTTCGAAAAGCAAAACCACAGTGTCATGTACAGGTCTTGCTACTCTACAGTTTGTTAAATATACGACGATACGCGTCCCGCGTTTATTTTATTGATATTAATAAATTAAGTGACATTACGAAATAAAGTACCACATTGTGTTAGGTACATTTTTTGTTTAAAAAATACGGAATTTCATATACGAAGATCGATATTTGTATGTCAATGTCAATGTCCCACGTATCAACCTATATTTAATAGATTGTAGAGTTTCGAAGTGTGCCTCTAAACTTATACATTACACGTTACAGGACTTTAATAATGTAGATATATCATATAGATGCATCCTTCGATCGCGGCACTGAATTCTTCCTTCAACAGCGAAGTCCTTAATATTTAAATTCTACTAAATTGCAAGAACTGTTTCTAAGACTTTTGATTTATTTGCTTATGTATAAATTACGGTACATGTCAAAACCGACAGAGATGAATTTTTTTTTTATTAATGTTATTCCAACAATGGTCGCAGCGTCTATTTCTTTATATGTTAGCTAATATTATTATCGTATTAATTCGATATGGTGTTTCTGTTCTGGGGTTTATGGGATCTCATGTTCTATATTCAAAATGTATATTCCTGGAGGCAATTACATGACACATTAATCCATATTTTTCGATAAACAAATAGTTATAATTTTTTTACATTGTATGTCAGACCACTTTTCTCTTATAACGTACCTCCAGTTATTAATTTCGCATTAATAATCGCATTAATAATCGAATCGATTTATTACGATTTACATGTTCAACAAATATAACAGGTTAATTAAATTATTTCCACTTATCTCTATAAGACATTAGGTAGATCCTGTTTTATAATGAAACGAGGATAATCTTGTCGTTTTTTTTCTCATGCAATCACGTCTTGGAAGAATACACAGAAGATTTCAGACACGTCGAGCTTACAAAAATCTTTTATCAAACACTAAATCACATGTAAAATGTACAATTCACAATACCGTCTATCAAATTCTTATGTTCAGTTCACAGTTTAGTAATCCGTCGTAATTGTAACTCTTCGAGCGTTTACTAGTCTTTTAGTCAGTTCTTCCGTAATCCTGGGGCTTCTTCCAGCGTTGCAATTACATCCAGGCGATGGCGGGGGTGCCGTTGGAGGGAAGGGAATCTACAGACCGTCGGCTGGTCGTTCCCAGAGCCTGCTGTCAGTAAAGAGACGAACTGGAACAGGGTCCGTCCACGCCCTGCATCTGTTGCTCCGAGTTCGTTATTAACTGCACCGGAAACAGATAACGAATAACTGTTTTACAACAACTGTTTTAAAATAGCAGAATATAAATTAATATTTTATAACGCTACTCGTTCTATTCATGTTTATTTATAAAAGCACTTGTTTTACTCGATAACATTTTTAAACCGATAAAAATAACTAACATATTAGTATAAAATGTAGAGGATAAGGAGTAGTATCTCATGTTTGATTTTAACTCTAAAAGAGTCCATAAAAATCTATTTAAGAAGCCACTTTAATAATGACGAAACGTACCATAAGAAAAACCGTAGTGAAGTATAAATGTAAAAGTAGTCCAATGAAATTAGTCAAAAACGAATGCAAAGTTCACATTCATTTTCGACAGTCGGAAAATAAATGTCATGAAGCTAAAGACAAAGTTAAATGCATCGAAAATACCAAGCGAATATCTTAAAACTCATTTTGGGTTAGACATAATTAGGGTTCTGTATCCAAGGATAAAACGGGACCTAAGACCCCGCTGACGGTCTGTCCGTAGTATTACTTTACTCTATGGTCTGTCCGTCTGTCACCAGGCTGTATCTCATGAACCGTGATAGACATTAAAATAGTACCGTGATAGACGGTTGTAATTTTCACAGATGAATTGTTTCTGTTGCCGCTATAACAACCAGGGCCGTGCCTGACGGGCGTTCATTGCGTGCACCGCACGCAGGCGGCCGAAATTAAGAGGCGGCCAAATCGTTACAAGTTGTTTACTGGGCAAAAATACAATCGGTTTGTTTTCATTAAGATACGAAGTAAAAACAGTTTCTCTAATCTAATCTATCTAAAAAGAGTTTCTCAGAAATAAGAAAGGTATAAAAACTGATTAGGTCGTTGTAGTATTTATATACCTAGTCATGCAGCGAATCCGAATTTTTTCGAACATTGCACGAGCGACGAGCCGAAATAGTTTTTTCAATTGACCGGCGTCGCGTAAGCGGTCTTATTCGTCTTATTAGTCGTATTAGTCTATAGACTAGCGAGGATAAATCGTTATTTGTGTCCTGTGTGTGATCCGATATTATTAAATTCTTTAATTTAACGAATAAAAATAAATTGCTTAATTCCTGAAAACTTTTAGTTGTGTGTTCGTGTGGTGAAATTTAATAAAAAGTTTTTTTATCGTTCTCGATTTCGGTTAACCAAAAACTGATTTTTTTCCCGGTTTGATGCCCTGTGTAAAATAATAAACATTAAAAAATTAAAGTAGTTTTTTTTTAATGTTATCCTGGGGGCGGCCATACAGACTGGCACGCAGGCGGCCATATACCCAGGCACGGCCCTGATAACAACAAATGCTAAAAGACAGTATAAATGAAACTAATTTTACGGATTTATCGCGTTTATTTTTAATTTTAATTCCCGACGTTTCGAACCCTTTACAGCGTTCATGGTCACGGGACAGACTGAGGTGTTAGACGTCTGATTGTCATAGTTAACCCGGGCTACCGTCAGTTTTTGAATTATTAATTTTGTGTCCGATCTATGCAGAGGGAGCTAATTGTATCTTGTCTTGCAGTAGTGGTTCGTTTGGGCCTAGATTTAATTTTATTGATGACAGGATCCCAAGCTGATGGTAGTACCCAACCTTCTTCTCTATTGAAATTAGGGTGTTTTTTAATTTCAATAGCCTCGCGAATCATCCTTGGGAGGAATCGGTGTTCTTTTGCAAGGATCTGTGGTTTGTCAAACCTGATGTAGTGGTTGGGCCTATTCAAAATGTGCTCACAAACTGCAGAGAAGAAGGTTGGGTAATACCATCAGCTTGGGATCCTGTCATCAATAAAATTAAATCTAGGCCCAAACGAACCACTACTGCAAGACAAGATACAATTAGCTCCCTCTGCATAGATCGGACACAAAATTAATAATTCAAAAACTGACGGTAGCCCGGGTTAACTATGACAATCAGACGTCTAACACCTCAGTCTGTCCCGTGACCATGAACGCTGTAAAGGGTTCGAAACGTCGGGAATTAAAATTAAAAATAAACGCGATAAATCCGTAAAATTAGTTTCATTTATAATGTGTAATCGCGTAAATACAAGAAATTATTATGCTAAAAGACAGGATAAAAATTTATTCAAGTGGGGCTCCCTTACAACAGGCATAATTTTTTTGAAGTTTTTATAGATAATGTAACGGAAACCATCGTACACGAGTCCGACTCGCACTTGGCATTTGGGATTTTTTTGTTGCTGGTTCATTTATTGTTCTGTATTAATAGATATTTACTTGCATTTGTAATATATATATTACTGCATATACTACATATAAGATTTGTAATACATATAATATAGCAGTGTGCAAATATAGTATTTTATATGGACCATTTAACAATAGAATTTACATATGAAATTATAAAAAAAATGTTGAGTTTCGAGAGTAGTAGTTATTTTCACATTTATATTTGAATTTAAAAAAAACGATGATTATGATTTAATTTTCGCCAAAACGTACTTCGATATTTAAATTTGAAAAAAAAAAAGACAATTATGATTAATTTTTTGCCAATACGTACTTCGATATTTGAATTTGAAAAAAAAAAATAATGACTATGATTTAATTTTCGCCAGTACGTACTTCTCTAATCTCACAAACGGCCGGCAACAGCCCGTCGGTGGAATTGTTGGGCGAGCGCGGCGACGGCGTCGGCGCGTGCTTGGGCAGCTCGCGGCCGGCGGCCATCTTGTCGTGCAACTGAGCGAGACGCATGCTCATCTGCCGCCGCTCCTTCTGCTCTCGCTCCCTCTCCCATCGCTTAGCGCTGTAACTCCTAATTGACGACGAGCTGCTCTGCACCGAGTTTAGACTTGGACGTCGCGAACCTGTCGAGATTGCTGAACGCTCTAGACCTTTCGAAACGATATCGCGCGTTCTTAAACTGGCAACACTATGTAATTACAGCTTGAAAATGCGATGTGCTCAAAAGCTTATTGGATTCGGCTTATTGCTTTTTATTTCTTCCTTTATATACGGAAGCGTGTGAGATAAAAGTTTCCAATCAGTTTTACTTAAGTGTGAAGTATTCGTTTTACTTATAATTAGCAAGAAAATCTAAAGGAATTTGCATATAGGTTCTTTTACATACAGGTTCTTTTAAATGTAATAGAGTGCTAAACGCAAGGGACAGTGGATTAGAAAAGTCTCAAATGTAACGATACTCTTATAATTGGAAAGAAAATTATAACATCAATTTAGTTACTATCAATTTTATCTTTTCCTATAATTCTCTAAAGATTGTTAGGACTGGTATAGAGTAGTGTAAGCTCGCTTTTTTTATAACTGTAGGTTAAAAAGAAAGAAGAATGTGTATGTATTATATTTAAAATTTTATAAAATGACGATTATACAATGTTACAAAATATGAAATATCATGATTAGATGTATAAATATTTAAATAGATATTGTAAAAATATTAAAACATACTTTTTTATACAAAAAATGAAAACATTTTTATCATTGATGCCATCAGAAATTGTAAGAAAGTATATTGTCTATGGTAACGATAGAAATAAGGGTGAAACACGTGTAAGTAGCTGTTTCACATTTAACAAGTGATAAGAAATATTATGACAATTAGCTTACTAAGCGTACAGGGGATGGTTTGGTAAATCAAAGCAACGCCCACATGCACCGAAACAGGAATTGAGAGACACAAAAGCGTTAAGCAGTCGTGCAAGTGAAACTGAAGCCTTGGCTCCCTTCTTTTTAAAGTATAATTATGTTCAGTTATACTTTAATTTTATTACCGATATACATAAAATGTACAATGTAAACGTTAAAAATTACATTAAAGCAATCACGTTAATGAATTTTTTAAACACGATTATTATTTTGTATCAGAAATAATTCGTCTTTGAAAAAATAAATATGCATAGTATGCAAGCTTCTAGAAATTTGTTTTTAACAAAACCTGTTCTCCTCACTGCATGCTGTCGTTTCCTAAATATGTATAAGGTCAACACAATCTTCAGTTTCGTCGTTGCCCTACACCTATGTGTCACGGAACAAGTGCGTTTATTTAATTATTTTTAAAACAACGCTCATTACCGTTGGGTTTTTGAGGTTAGGTTCAAAGTTATCAGGACTTAAAGGGTTTTAATAATCCGCCGCACTCATTCCGCAACACGAGGCGATAACAGAACGTTAGGCGACAAACAGACACAGAAGGAAGTTACGCCACGGCCATCTTGCTTGCGCCACGCGAAGAACACGTAAGGTCCTGCGACTGACACCACACCAATCAATTACCAAACTTCCATTAAACACGCCAAAGCCACGAAAAGCCTCACAATAAGCGACATCTGTATTACATTGCAGGCAGTTCGTCCGTAGACACGTATAAATGGAAAAATTACGTACATCGTGAACATCTGGGTTGGACAAATTGACATAGAAAAATTAGTATTAACAGTGAGTAATTGAACAAAGAAAATAGGACTCAGAAAACCGGAAAGAATGATAAATTATATAATTATGATGTTCATAGTAACGTCATGATATAAATCTAATGTAAATTCGAATTTCAAAACAAAGATAAAATCATTTTGCGTCGATACACGAGTGATGTATTGACAGCTACTCCAAGCTGTAACAGCTTTTACAGATGAAATCGGTTCTAGCTCAAAGAGTTCCCAGTAGACGGATAAATTGAGGTACCTGATATCTAGCAATCAGTTCTAGCTCAAATAGCTTTGGGTATCTAGATAAATTTAAGGGACCCGATGGTGGAGAATAAGGTGTAAGGTTGCGGACACAGTGCGGCCGCGCGTGGTTGAGCAGTCGCCGCGGACACTAACAACGACACGCGACATCTACCACACGAGCGACGTGCAGCGAGACATGCGACACCAGCGACCGGCCCTCGAATGCCCAACGTTGCTACTCGTCAATAACATTGGAAGTTAAGCTAAAATTGTTGCATCACTAATGATTCCACTGACATTTTTCATATGGCGACTGATATTCAGTGGTCAATCGATTACTTTTTAGTTTATTTCACGGGAGTTGCTGTGCTCCAGCTGCGATACTATTTTAGACCAGCCGTTAGGGATGTTGACAATGACTGTCTCGTTGTGATGTGAAAGTTAATTACATGATAAACGTGCGGTCGTCGTCGTAATCTCGCAGTCCACTTTATAAAGTCCAAATTTTATTATGATGACAATATCTAGAACGAATTACGAGTAACGAATAGAAGAAGGCTTTCAATGGCCACTCTTTGCTATATTTTAGTTGCGGTGGTCCCTTATAGCGGCACGAGCCAGTTTGCGATCCCAATGGACAGTCCCTAGTCACGGGGCAAATTGGACACGATCCGAGCGGCGGCCGTTAGGCATTCGGGGCGGCCGAGCGAACCGCCGTACATCGTGCAGTAAGGGGCCGCGCTGCATACATCATCCGGATCACCTTTGGCGGCGCACTTAGGCGGGTGCGCGCCGCCGTCCCTTACGGCCTTCAGGTGGCGCGAGATTAGCAAGATGGCGGCCGCGCGGGCCGCACCTGCGCGCGACGCGCCCCCCACCCCGCGGCCGCGCCGCTCCGCGTCCAGCGTGCCGCTAGTGCAGCCGCTCGTGCAGCCGCTGCGCGAGGACGCGCGCGACGAAGCGCGGGTCGCGCTCAGTGTGCCACCTGCGCAAAACGAATTTCCCACTGAGTGTGCCACCTGCACAAACATGAATGTCCGGCTCGGTGTGCCAGCTGCACAAACACGAATGTTCCGCTCAGTGTGCCACGTACACAAACACGAATGTCGCGCTCAGTGTACTAGCTGCACAAACACGAACGTCCCGATCAGTGTGCCACCTGCACAAACACGAATGTCCCGCTGAGTTTCTTTTGTGCGGTTCCACTAATGTCCGCATCTTTCCTTCCGACCCGGTAGTAGTATTTTGACAACCAATATAAGCATCGCACTTACTATGCTCGTATATTGAATAAAGATATTTAAATTTGAATTGTCAAATGGCATATGGAGGGAAGCGTTCAGTTATTTTATTAGGTAGTTTGAGGATGGAACGATAATTCCGTAATATGGTCTAAGAGACCGAGTACTTAATAATTATGTTTTACTGGTTAATTTCAAGTGCGATATATCAAGAGCCCACTTAAGAAGAAAGAAGTTGCACTTATTTAGTGTTATAAAAGAAAAGCAACTGAATTTTTTTCCCCTGATCCAGTATTCTTTGTTTGTTCAAAAGACATTAAATGCAAATAATGAAGGCTTAACTAAAAACCTGGAATTATAGGTGAAAGACAAAAAGTTGTTATTGGTGGATATGGTAATACCATGTCGCTTGTAACTAACTTCATCATGTCGCTTTTTAGTCATTTTACGTGTGCGCGCGCAACGTAAAAATACTACTATCATAGTTCTTACCAAAAAGTAGTATAACCTCAAACTTCTTTATATACGATTTCCAGAGTAGGAAGGCCTCTTTTAGGTTAAGACAGTATGAGCACTGGAGGAAAGCGAGGCAACTGCCACCTTGGAAATCCGCCGCCGGGGACCAGGGCGCAGGAGGCTGGCCCCGGGCGGCAGAAGTGGGAGTAACTGTTGCCCCGCGGAGGGCTTGAGAAGGGTGCCGCTTTCATTGCGCCGACACGGCACCATTTGGCTGGACCGGGTGTCTAAGCACCCGGAGATAGGAGGCCCGAGGAGGCCACAGTCGCGCCGGGGTTCGCGGAAGATTGCGTTTTCGTGTCGTTAAAGTATGGGCACAGGATGCGAAAGACAGACCGGTATCGTTGAGCGAGTAGAGGCAGGGCGGCGTCAGCCTCGCGTCGGCCAGATGCGCCGGGTGGTAGCGCGCGCGCGTGTACAAGTGGAGCACCATGCACAAAAGCCCCGCCAGCACGAAGATGCCCGACGCCACGCCGAGCAGCGTCGGCATGTCCGCCGTCAGCAGCACCATGTCTGCAACCACAATGCCTGCCCTTGAGGGTCTGGGAAGCTGGCGGACTTATGATACGTCAACGTAGTATAGTTCTTTAGTAGCTGCGCGCTTCGGTCCACCTATACTTGTGTAAACATGTGCCCTTTATAATGTAACGTCGACGTAGTGTAGTTCTTTAGTAGGTGCTATCTTCGGTTCGCCTGATGTTAAGTGATTACCGACGCCCTTTTATAACGACTGACGGGTTGCAAATGCGTTTTTAACGTTAGAAATGTTGGCTCCGGTTACCCACCAGACGAAAAGCGAGAGTATAATAAAAACTTCGCCTTCACGCCGGTTTTTTGTAAGGCCGTGGTAGTTTTTCAGAGGAGCCTGCCCATTTCTGCAAGTCACTTTTTATGAAAGCATCATCGGGTTCCTTTTTGTTTGTTTCGACCGGTCTAATTTCGGGAGTCAGTACAGATTTTAACTAACTATCAAACCTTAACTTTTTAATTTTAACTTTACCGCTTTTAGATTTCGCCGTATACAATCTTGCCATGACGGCATCTGTTCGGTTCACTGCTGAACCAAACAGCTTTGTTTGCACGTTTTACCTAAAGTCCATCAATATCTAGTAAGCATTAAAATATACCGCGACAATCAGTCAGTTCATTACCGTTCATTACCGAACGTAATGAAGCAAACCAGGCGTTATCAAATTATCATACCTAATTATCATATCATAGTGTATCATTGTAACTATATCAATTTTGTTATAAAGTTGTGATATCATCATAACCGGTGTTAGAAGTTGGCCCCAACAACATCCGTCATTACACGCACGAGTTAGAGTTATTGATAGATCATAGGGGTTCGGACCACTCACTACCTTCCGTTACATACATTACATAGTATACGATATCCGCGCCGTCCAGACGTTACCTTCTGTGCAGAAGACACGTGGCACGGGGCGCGAGTGGCTGGTGCTGTGGTAGCCCGCCTCGCACTGGCAGTACGCGTTGTGGTTGACTTGCACGCAGGAGGCGTGAGGGTCGAAGGCCTGGCAGGTCTGCCTGTAGAAGCATTGCTCGCCGAGCTTCTTCGCTGCAACGCGCCCGTGGACAAGTCAATTGAGCAAATGGTACTAGCAGAACAATTTTTTTGCTAACTAAAATTTCCCCTATAAATGTATACCTTTTTAAACTGCTGCACTGTATTTCTCGAGTTTTGCGGGCGCTGTACATTAGTGAGAATTTTTATGACATATTTGCTATTTTATTAATAATGACAAAATTGACTTTACGAATATTGCCAAGAGGGTGTTAAAATTACGAGTGTGCACGATACAGTTATACACTGCAATGATTTTAAGCGCCTCTGGGAATTATACTTAGTTGATATAATGAAAATAAAGCTAATTTGCTAATCGGTTTAACAGACTAGTTTGCTCAATCACAGACGAATTTTTTTACGTAGTAAGTAGTGATTCTAATTCGTTAACTACTTGACTACTACTTAACTGAGTACTTGGTAATGTATACGTATAGTATTGTAACCGACGTTGTAAATACAAATTTAATGAAATGTTTAGTTTTCAGAATGTTATTAAAATAAAAATAAAAAGGACAACCTCCATTAGATGGAGGTTCCTCTATTTTAATCTCAAAAAAGTCAATGGATGCAGATGGCTCAGGGTCATGCTTCGTGGCAGTCTGTGCGGGAGGCCTATGTTCAACAGTGGACTCTAATAGGATGAAATGACCATGAGGATGACGACAATTTTCTACAATAATTGTAAGAACCAAGTTAAAGTCAGTCGTTTAGGTTAGAGTAGAAACAAAATATTTCAACAAGTTGAATGGGGGACATGATCCTACCTTTCCTCACTCAATCTCCCGTCGAAATCGTGCTGACCAAGACTAATTATACGTGCGTACAAGGAGAAACGCGAGAAACTGCGGGGTACGTACGTTTGGCGCAGCCTTTGGCGGGCCCCAGAGGCACCGGATGCTTGGGGTCGCACTGGCACGACAGCGTGGACGGCTCGCAGAGGACGTGCAGCAGCCTCGGGTTGCAGGCCAGGTCGCAGGGGGAGCCCAGGTACATGCCCTTCTCTGCAAACCAGGGCGGCGTCAGCAGACAGTGTGGCCGTGGTAAGGATGCCCTTTGGTGTAAAATCTTGGAAACCACCTGACGATAATCCATGATGTAGGGCCACGCACGCTGTGGCACGAATGGGCAGGTCTGTCCGTAGTACCGCGACCTCACAGAATACCGGCGTAAGGTAGAAGTGTTACACTTGTGCCTTTCGTTTGGAGGTAGCCGGGGCCCACTTTATTTAAAGGTGGCAACGCATTTGCAACCCATGTGTTGCAAATGTCCATGGGCAGCTGTTATCACTTAACATCAGGTGAACCGCCAGCTCGTTTGCCACCATCTCACATAAAAAAAACATGCTATAATATTACACGGCAAAGGCTACAGTATATATAATTTAGTAAATTTAATTATACATTTAACAATATTCGGAACAAAAATCCTCAAAAAATTGTTACTATTTATTAAGAATAAATTTATTAATTTATCAATTCAAGAAAAATAGCTTACGTTTTCGAAAAACCGAAAAATAAAAACGCCGAATAATATTCATCATTATTCAACACCATTCGACACCAGTTCATCGTTATTGCAACACCATACGACATTGAATTTTACAAGTTGACACAAAATAACCAACTCTGGACTGTTTCCTAGAGAGTTCGCTTCACATCTAATCTTAATGAATATATGCAAAGCGTATACAAATCCGGCGTATTCAAATCGGCACCAGTACCAGCGAAATTGACGAATACAATTTCACAACATACCGTTTCTCCAAATCTCCCTAGCGCCTACACTTAATCTACAAGCAATTCTAGGAATATGCACATATTGAATGAATGCTTTGTGTAATATATGTATAATAATCAAAGGACGATGATCATTATTTTAATTACCAGTTTTTAGTCGAATAACTTATCTAATCCTTTCTTAATGGACACATCACTAAATCTTGTACTTTTTTTAATTTCGTCGTAGTTTAGTTATATTTGACCTGGTGTATATTTATCAATTAGTGCTGTATCTGATATAGTTTATGTACTTTTTAGAAAGCACTCGTTTGTTAGTTTTATATTAGACTTTGATACATAAAATTTGTTGTTTTGTGTAAAGATGTTGTTTTTTTAAAAATAATTAATCGAAGCCATTTAGCGTAGTAAGTTAAACGTGAAACAACATTGCTATTAGTTTCTGCGGAAAAAACGGGAAAATTCTTAATGTATGTATTCTGAGATTTTAAAAATGATCGTGATTCAAATTTGTACAAAAATGGACGAAAGTTAATTTCACCGCTGCGGAAATCGAACTTATGTCTTTGAGATTCGCGGCCAGAAGCTTTAACCACTAAGCTAAACGGCTGATTGCCATACTGACGAAAGTCTCAACGTCTTATATCTACATCGTTTTTTCGCATACTAAGCAATGAAACTTTTCGTCCTTTTTTCTACAAATGTTAATGATTCATCTTGAGTGCAGAGAATGGAATTATAAAAAGTAATATTTTAAATATGTTTATGAAAAACCCTTTTCCTCTTATGTCAGTCCCTCTAAAGTTAGTCCTCGAAAACCATATATTTATTTTTGTATTAGATGCAATTTCAAGGCCCGAGAATGTTCTACAACATTACGAAACAGTTTCTGGTCAACCCACCGTTAGCAACGCCATTTTGAGACGTATAATCGATTGCCAATTTCACACATGTTGCCTTTAGATTAGATATGTCCTCTATCGGTACCTCAAGTAATCCTTTACTTGAGGTGAATCTACTGTATGTCCTAAAATAGCTACGGAAAATCTCCAACTACTGAAGTTCGAATGTGAGGTGTTTGAAAGTCTTTTCGACTAGTCTTAGTGTCTTTTTCAGAGATCGATCGGTGTCGTGATAAGACTCCCATTGGGTTTTATTTTAAATAAACTCTTGTAGAACATGTGGTTAAACGTCTACGTCAACAATACATTGATAGTCGCTAGCGGGGGCATCTTAGGGCCAAAGAACTCACCGAGCTTGTGACAGAAATCGTTGTTACAAAGATATACGAGTTGGTTCGTAGATGGCATAATGAGTACTATGAATCCATACTATGCCAGGTGGCATCCAGTGGGTCTGAGGTCAAGGTAGCTGGATATATGAAGTAGCTGGGCCTGGATGTGTCACGGAGTTGGTGCAGAAAGAGGCTCGTGAGGATTATCAAGAGAGGCCGGATCCCACTCGTAGGCAGGGCTAACGAGGCGTCTCTGTTCATCACGGCACTCCAAACAGAAGCTGTATTTTTTTACCAGAGACCTCAGGGATCCCTAGCAGCCTCGGCTGTTGTACGAATGGGCAGGCTCATCCGGGTAAGAACCATGACCTCACAGGAGATCGGCGTAAAGTGGAAGTATAATACTTTCGCGTTTCGTCTGGTGAGTGAGGTGGCTGGAGCCCAATTTTCAAAAGGTTGCCAACGCAGGTGTAGCAGATGTCAATGGGCGGCGGTATTCACTTAATATCAGGTGAACTGTCTGCTCGCTTGGCAACTTTTCACATTAAAAAAAATCTAAGTTATCACTGCTTTGACACGTTAGAAGTTGTCTTCATTTATTTTCGTCATAAATTGGAATTTTATTTTCGTCAATTTAATTTCGGATGTAATAATATAAATATACTGACTATAAGTTCACAAGGGTTTTCAATCACTCGTATTATGATTGCATGGAGACGCCAGCGCTATAACGAAATCATTTGAACCATTTTAATAGAACATGTAACGATTATGTTACAAAGTAGCCTCGTTCTAACGGGGGAAATGTTTCAAACAATCCTTTGGGTCGTTCTTAATAACACCCCTTTATGAATTCCTTAAAAGTTTAGTCATTAGCGCCATCGAAAAAGTAGCATACGGTGCTAAATATAATTCTGTTAGTAAAGTTAAACCGGCTTGATGGGTGATTTTTCAAAGTCGCGCCGAAAGTTGCGGGCCAGGGGAACCTAATCCGGTTGTGGCGTTGGTAACGTACACTTCTTTGTTGTTGTTTTAATTGAATCGACAACCTTGGCCTCCGTCGACTGAACCTTATAAGCGGTAAAAATCTAATGATTTTATCATTCTCGCGTAAAACTGCGTTTACATTCTTTTACATTTAATTTTTTTCGTAACTGAGGATCACCTTAAACTATAAAAAATATTACATTTAAAATCTTTATATAAAAGAAACTATGTATTTACTTATTTACGCACGTAAGAACTTATACTTCTGTAGGGAAACAAAGGAAAAAATACTAAAAATCTTATCCCATGTGTTCGTGTAAGACATTAAATGCAATAATTAACGGTTTAATTAACCTTGGAGTTCAAGTAAATGTCAAAAAGTTGACATTGGTTGACATGGTAAGATCCGGGAACTTGGTCGCTTAGCAACAGACTTTATTTTTGTCTGTCGTTGTGAGAGCGCCGTAATCTTGCTCTCATAATTTTTCCCAAACGCGCCAAAATAAGTATAACTTCAAAAAACTCTTAACACCATGTCAAGATTAATTCACATTAACCTATGTACAATAAGACCCCGTCCTCTTTTTGACATCGGAGGGAATTTTGAAAAGAGGTCCTATATTCAGGGAACAACAACAGGCTTACGTCAGACTTTGGTTCACTAAAACCCTATATACTGCGTTTGGAGGGCGTTTGCAGATTTAGAGGTCATCCAGTTAATCGATACCATTTCCATTTCGAAGGCATGGAAATGCCTACGTGTCTTCGAGATACAGGGTCACTCTATAGTGAAAAAATGCTTTAACGAGATTTCTATCAAACTAATGCCCGTTTTCACCACCGATATCTTACTTTAAGGGACACCTGAAAAAATTAAATGCTAGTTTCGTTTTCACCAGCGCTTAAGTGTCACCTAAAGTCTTAAGCATGTGAGGGATCTTAGCGTCGCAGTAATTAGCGATGTCGTCCTCAATATTGAAATAAAACCGTTTAAAAACTTTTAAGTTAAACGGTTTTATTTTATGTTTTTTTTTTTTGTTAAATTTTTTTTGTTAATATTGTATTGTCATCTAAATTAAATGTGTGTACCAAATTTCAGATCAATCTGACAACGGCAAGGTGCTTAAATTTCAATTTCTAATTTTGACCCAAACAAACAAATTCCGTACGGGTCGAGCTAAATAAAACCGTTTAAAAAAGACGCGGCACTAGAATGTGTACCGTTGGGGAGTTCATCTTTTCAGCTCGGGGAAATGGCCCTCCCGTTTCCTGACAATTCTCGCACTGCATTGTTTTCTAGGACGATGTCTGTACTACAGAGGAGGGTCGCGCTTTCGCATATACTCGGCGGTATGTTCCAGTGGGCCTGTTTTAATAAAATACATGTATTAAAATTTGTAGAAAAATGTACGAAAAGTTTCTCGCCGCTGCATCTGGGAATCGTACCCACGTCTTCGGGATTCGCGCCCTGGACGCTTTAGCCACTAAGCTAAACGGCTGATTGCCACACCGACGAAAATCTCAACGACTTTTATCTACATCGTTTTTTTTTCATTTGAAGCAATACTTGGCGCATCCATTGTTATATCCTTTCCAGCATACAAAGAATTTCACTGTGTTCATAATAAGGTTGTCAAGTTTGATATGGTATTCATAAAGATGTTTATTACGGGAATTATTAATGCTTTCAATTCAGAGAGTTTAAACATCCTATTAGCAACTAAAATGAAATCTGATAAGCCATTTGACAGTTGATTAGTTGACTTCTACGATGATCAGTGTTTCAGAAACCGGGCGTAAGAGTTATATGGTCGGATCTTTTCTTCAACGGATCTTTCTTTTCTTTATCTCACTGAGGCTTGTGTGCCAAATGTATACTTATAAGCAGAGGAATAGCGGGTTCCTTCTACTGTTTGTTCTCGAGTTTGGAGAATTGACAAGCAAGTAAATATTTTGACTTATATACGGTGTGAAGGAATTTTAAATATTTATACCAAATATTTAATAATCCAGCTCAGAAACTTGGAAATGAAGTTTGCGAAAG